CTCTAGAGCCCAGCTGTAGCATGCGGAGCACAGGCTGGGGCGTTGGCCCGTGGAGTCCCCGCACCCTTGCTGGCCACAGCTGCCCTCTCTGCTTATGGGGCAGGGGCCGCGAGGAGCCAGCACATATGGGTGGTGACATCATGTCTGCAGGGGCTCCTGTGGGATGGGACTTGGTGACCTCAGCAAGGTGGGCGGGATGGGGGAGGGCAGAGACGGGGCCTCACAGCTTCCTCCTCAGGCCCAGCACAGTGCTGGGCAGTAGACCCTGCAGAGCACCCGGCACTTAGCCGCAGAGGCCCCCGGCTGGCAGATGCTCCCCCAAAGCCATGGGAAGGGCCTCCAAATGCAGCCTCATCCCCCCACTCCCGCCCCCACTCGGGGGAGGGTTGAGGGGTGGCACGTGTGTGCGTTAGAGGAGGGGAGTCAGCAGGGGTCCAGCCTCGAGCCGGTGCGGGGCCCGGGGTCGAGCCAACGCAGGGTCGGTTCCCCAGCCCCAGGCCCTCTTAGCTGCCCATTCCACAGATGAGGAAGTGGAGGCTCCAAGAGGCAAAGGGACTTCCTTCGTCCAGCTAGGAAAGGTTCAGAGTTTGGACTTGAACCCAAGCTGGCAGCCTCCTAATCCAGTGCTCTCTGTTTCACCGGTGGGGAGAGACCTGGCCTGGCTGGCAGTTCAGGGAAGTGGAGGTGGGCAGGGGGAGCAGGGGGAGCAGGGGGAGCCGGGGAGGGTGGGTGCTGGCACTGCTCTCGTCCTCGCAGGCTTCCTGGGGACGGTGGCTGCTTTGAGTTGGGTCCAAGGCCTGAGGTCGGTCGGGGTCTCACTGGTGCCCCTCACTCCTGCAGGCATCGCCTCCTCCCGTCGGGCTCCCTGCGTCTGGCCCAGGCCCAGGCGGGTGACAGCGGTCTCTACCAGTGCAGAGCCAGTAATCCCGCAGGGTCTGCCGCTCGGCACTACGTCCTCGGGGTGCAAGGTAGGCGGGGCTGGTGGCTTCTGTCAGACCCATGGTTCTGCCCTGACTTCTCAGTGCCCCTCCCCCAGCTCCCTGTGCCAGCTCTGTCCCCTCCTCAGGGCGGCCTCCAGGCTTCCCCATCACCCCTACTTCCTGCCCGTCTCAAGCCACGTCTCCTCCCACCCCCTCCTGTACCCCTCCCACCCTCTCCTGTACCCTTAGTTGCTGAGCGCAGGGGCAGGGCCCAGCAGTGGGGACTTGGGGAGGGACCCACAGAGGGTTCTGGTCCCAGCCCATGGTGGGGCCCGGGTCCCCTTCACAGAAGCTGGCGGTGGAGTCACTCCACCAAAGAGGCAGGAGCTTGTCATCTCCAAGAGCCCCCAGGAATCAGGGGGGGTCAACCAACCAAGGCCCTAGGGTCACGCCCGGGCCACGCCCAGCCCGCCTGCTGTTTGCAGCTGGCCACGGGCGGAGAAGGGCGTCTCCATTTGGAAACGCGTGGGGGAAGGGCGATGTTCTGTGACCTGTGGACACTGTGTGACATTCAAGTTTCAGGCCGTAGATGCACGTTTCAGTGGCGTGCAGCCTGCAGTTCCTTTACGTCTGGTCTGCGGCTGCTCTCGCGTCGTAACGGCAGAGCTGAGTAGTTGAGACAGACCGTCTGGTCTTCAAAGCCTGAAATATTGAGTGTTTGGCCCTTAACAGCAAAAGACGACCCCTGATCTAAGCTAACTGCCCATTTCACAGGTGGGCAGGCTGAGGCTCAGAGCGAGAAGGGACTCAAGGGTTTGCCGAGGTTTCGGGCCCACGAGCGAGGCACGCAGCGGGGGCAGGGTGAGGAGCAGGGCTGTTTAAATCCTGACTCTGCCGCCCCCCTGGCTGTGTGACCTTAAGCCGCCGCTCGGCCTCTGTGAGCCTTAGTTTTATTTCTGTAAAATCCCGGAGTTGTCAGAAGGGGTACTGATGGCATCAGGCACTCAGCAGAGCGGAAGCTGTAACTGTTTTCAGCAGGTGGGGGTGGCGTGGACGGGGCAGGTACCCCCTGGTGCCCTGGACTGATCTGTGCCCAGGGGCCAGGGTCCATGTAACGGTCCTTTCTCGGCTCTTCCTCCAAAGCTGGGAGGGAGTGGCTGTTCCTCACCTTCCCCCGAGGGCCCAGACCACAGTCCCAGGCGTCCGCTCAGCACCCAGAGCAGGGGGGCCCGTGGAGTCCAAGTGTTTTCCCGGACCCTGGGCCAAACCCCCAGGAGGCTGCCTGGGCTCCTGGTCACACAGACCCGGGGCTGGGACCGCTCCAGCTGTGGGTGTGGGTGACTCTGCAAATGGGAGCAGCTTACCTGCCCCTGGGAAGGCCCACAGGAGCGGGAGGGGGGACGCCCCGAGAACACTCCTGGGAAGGAGGTGAGCACAGGCAGCCTCCTGAGCTCAGGGCAGGATGGAGATGAGCGAGGGGAGTGCCCGCCAGGCCGGGCCAGGCCGAGCCGCTGTTTCGATCCGGGCGGCTGTGAGGAGGGGCACGGAGGCTCTGGCCCGGCCGTGCAGGGTCCTGTGGCTGCGAGGACAGAGCTGGGATTTGAACCTTCCCCTCTGTGTGTGCTGCCTCCCAACCTTGCCGTCCACCCAGAGTCAGTCCCTCTGGCCCCGGCCTCAGTTTCCCCATCTGGCACTATTATGTGGAGTGTCCCCCAAAAGGGTATACACACTTTGATTGATTATTCATTCCAGTGGGTTAGATCTGAAAAGAAAGAAGCATCAATTGAGCCATCTGCTGCTAAGTGTATATACATTTTGGGGGGACACCCCGTATTTCCCAGCTATTGGTTTTCGAATGATGTTGGGTGCACTTGGGTCTGGGATGGGGCTGAGGGAAGGGTGGGGATTGGGGCGGTGAGGAGTGGGGAGCATTGAAGGGGGGGTGGGAGGGTGGAAGGGGTTGGGGGAGTCCTCTCCATGGATCTGGCCTCTGTGACTCCCCCCAGGGCCCCCGCCTTGAGCCCCTCCCCATGTCCCTGTCAGTCCCCCCTCAGGTGCAGCCAGGCCCGCGGGTCCTGAAGGTCCTGGCGGGTGAAGCTGTGGACCTGAACTGCGCGGCCGAGGGCACCCCAGAGCCCAGGCTCAACTGGTCCAAGGATGGGGAGGCCCTGGGGGGCGGGGGGCCCGAGGGCTCCGTCCATTTTGCAGCCATCCGAACTTCTGATGCTGGCGTGTACCGCTGCGAGGCCGCCAACAGCGCCGGGGTAGACGCCTGGGAGCTGGAGCTCAGGGTGCTAGGTGAGTCCCTGAACCCCACATCTCACCGCTCCCCACCTTCCCAACAGCAGCCTGGCCTTCTGAGATGCTTGCCTGCTCTTCTGGGCTCAGGGCCTGCCTTCCTCCCTCCCCAAGCCCCGTTGCAGAGCCTTTGTCAGCCCCGTGGGTACTCTGTCCACTGGGGAAGTGAGTGATGAGCAGGGCCAGGGCCCCAGTCCAGCCCCCTCCACTTACCAGCTGGACACTCTAGGCCAGTCATTTACACTCTCTGACCTCAGTTTTCTCACCTGTGAAATGGGTTTGATAATATGTAAGGGGTCAGCGAGGGAATGTGTGCAAAGCACCGGGGGCATGGGAAGATCTGGGCCAGTGGCTGCTGTGAATTTAAACAAACCTGGAAAGCGCAGCTGGAGGGGAAGCCCCGCCTCTCCAGTCCTCGGGGCCCTGCGTGGCCCTGTGTGGCCCTGGTAGCTTCTTCGTGGGCCACCCTGTGGGGGGCAGCCAGCACCACGGCCCTGACTCCCTCACCCTGAGGCTGAGGGCTGCAGCACAGGCTTGCACCCCCTTATGTCGGGCTGGGGCTCTGGAGGGGGGGGCGCCCTCCCCAGTGGCCCTGGACCAAGCTTTGGACCGGGGGAGTGAGCATGGCCACATCACCTCCCACCAGAGCCACCGCACTGGGGAGCCGAGGAGACCAGCGGGCTGCTGGAGAGAGTGGCAGGGGAGAACGCCAGCCTGCCGTGCCCTGCCAGAGGTGAGGCTGGGCCAGGGTGGGCCCCGCTGGGAGGAGCTTCCCTCCGCACTCCAGGGCCCTGGGTCACACGCCGTGGGCAGTGCCATGGTTATGGGGGGTATAGCAGCTTCACTTCTAGCCAGGGCCACGCGAGGCATTTCATCCCACCCACACCCGATAGAATGGGATTAGCATTAGCTCGTTCCGGCCCAGAGAGGTGAGGCCGCTGCCTGAGGTCGCTCAGCCAGACGGTGGCTCACAGGGCGTGGTGTGGCGTGACCCAGCCCACGCCCAGTTAAGCCCCGGCCCCTCTGCACCTGGGGATTGTAGCAGCTGGGGCTGAGGAAGGCCCAAGGTCCTTGTGGATCGGGGCTCGGTGGCCCTGCCTCTCCCAGGCCCCCGACTTCCTCACAGAGGATGGACTCACAGTCTTGAGCAAACCAGCCCCCCCGAGACCCCCTTTGGGGCAGCAGCTGTGTGGGAAGTGACAGCCACTCTGTGGCCACCTGCCCCGTGTTGAACCATCCCAGCTGTGTGTGCTGGGGCAGTGGATGCCTCTTTCCTGAGCCTCAGTTTTCTCGTCTGTAGAATGGGGCCATGCCAGCCCCTCCATGCAGGGCTGCTGCTGGGAGGGCCCAGTGAGGCAGCCTGAGCTTTAGGTCCCGGCACCGTGCCTGGCACATAGCAGGGGCCTGAGGGAAAGTGTGGAGGAAACGAATGTGAGTGAATGAATGCTTCACCCTGCCGCGTGGGCAGATCCGCGCCCGCCGAGTTGCTGCTCTTGGCTTTGGGCCCTTCTGGGACCCGAGAGGACACGCTGTCGGCCCTGTGCGTGGGATCTGTGGGGTCCTGTCTGCAGAGCTGCCCACCTGCAGGGACCCAGTGGCCCTGCCCTTGACCATGGCGCCACCTGGTGTCGGTCTCTGGTAATAGCAGCCGCTCTGTGCTCTCTGGAGGTGGGACCTACCCACCCAGCCCTGCATCCTGTGCTGGTGCCTCCCGGCTGCCCACAGCCAGGGTCCTGTCCTCTGGGCCGGACTTCGGCCGCCTCAGCATAACGGAAGCCCCTCTGGTAAACACTGCCCTGCCCTGGCCGGCACCTGCCCCCCTGGCTGCCCCCTTTTCACGCGGGCGGCTGCCTGGTGGGCAGTGCTGGGCCCTGGCGGTCACCAGCCCTGTGACTGTGGGCTGGAGGCTCGGAAGCTAAGGAAGGCTGGTAGCTGCGGTGGGTGGCACCTTCGCCTCCCCCTTGGGTGGATGGGGGTGCTGGCCCCTGTAAGTGGGAGCGGGGAGGTGGGGGGTAGCTCTGAG